AAACTAAAAATTAAAATTCTAAGAAATGTCTTTATTTACAGACTATTAAATCATGACAAGCCTAAAAGCTGAGAAAGCCGTGATTGTTCCTGGCAACGGATGTGGAGACGTTGCTGACTCTAATTGGTAACTTTATTACATTTAATCTTTTTAAAAATCACTTTTACATGGAAACCCAGCTTTGTCTATAAACTAAATTTAAGCTAATCTAAAGTCAACCCACTCGGCTTGATATTCAAATAAATAACATTCCCGTGGTTTTATCGAGTTTTCCAATGTAAGCCAAGTCTGTTAAGGGATTCCTAGGATTTAATTGGACAAACAATCAAAGGGACAATCAGTGTAATTTCGTAACATTTCAGTTTAATATTGCAACATGTTGGTGCAATATTGTAACATTTCAGTTTAATATTGTAACATGTCGGTGTAATGTTGTAACATTTTAGTTTAATATTGCAACATGTTGGTGCAATGTTGTAACATTTCAGTTTAATATTGTAACATGTTGGTGAAATGTTGTAACGTTTCAGTTTAATATTGTAACATGTCGGTGTAATGTTGTAACATTTCAGTTTAATATTGTAACATGTCGGTGTAATGTTGTAACATTTCAGTTTAATATTGCAACATGTTGGTGAAATGTTGTAACGTTTCAGTTTAATATTGTAACATGTCGGTGCAATGTTGTAACATTTCATTTTAATATTGTAACATGTCGGTGTAGTGTTTTGACAATTTGTCTTAAAATCGTCTTGTTTTTTTATGCTTAGTTTTTCAGGTATGGTTGGGCAAATCGGAAACTGAACGAAATTCCTGGATTTTCGTCAATCTTACGGAATATGCCTGATCCTATCACAGCCAGGAATTTAATTCTGTTATTTCGATTTGAATTACACAATACCTTGTATACCCTCATAAATGCTACACAAAGCTGGGTGTGACATGATGAAATAATATAACTAGACGATTTTTGCCCTATTAAGTTGATCCGAAATAATGGATCCGTTAATTTTTTTCAGCATTTCACATGTAGCCCTGTGTATTGTGTAACATCTTAAAATCAGCTAAGTTGAAAGCGTTAGCTTTTGTGAAAGAATTGTATCCCTTTGTTTCGAAAAACGATTAACAATATCAATTTGAAGATTGGGAAATCTTAACAGCTGAAATCGTTTATTTGATCCTCCTCTTATAAGCGTAATTTTAACTGACCTACCATGCAAAGATGGCAATTTCCGATTCACAAACCGAAAATTGCTAAATCATACTTGACCAAACAATGATGTTAAGAGTACCATTGTGAATCAGGTATTGCTATCTTTGCATGATGGGTCACTTAAAATTACACTTACATTAAAGAGGTTGATCTTGTGTTGTGAAAAACAAGAATACTATAGGTTGATAGAGAATCAATATGGCTGCCATTCATGAAGGATGAACTGAAAGTTGACGAGAAAACTATTATTATCGGTCATTCAAGTGGAGCCTGCGCTGCAATAAGGTACTCGCATGCACCTTTCCTTTTCTTTTTGCCAGTGCTTAGGATCCCCTTTTCATTTGGATCCGGATCCAGGATCCACCCAATGAAAAATGGATCCGAATTAGCTGACTGAAATGTTTAAAATTGATTGATTGATTGATTGTTAGACTAATTGATTGATTGCGTGATAGATTTGCTGAATCTAATCCGGTTTACGGGATAGTTCTGGTTGGAGCCTACCATACAGATTTAGGAGATTATAATGAGGTTAGTTTCCTATTTTCCAGGGGTGAATATTTCCCTAAAAAACACCCCCCCCCCCCCCAATAGAGAATCATCTTTCTTTAGGAGTTATATTCGGTTGCTGCACAAATTTTTAAAGAGTTTTTTTTCACTGAATTGGGGACATTACATGATTTTTCAGGGAAAATAAATGATTTTTTGGATTAACAATATCAACAAATGAGTGAGTAAACTTGCCTTTTGGTGTCCCATTTTTTTTTTTTTTTTACCCCCATTCATCAATAATCATTCCCCCCGTCCGGGGGGGGGGGGGTTGTAATTCTGAATAATATACACCTCTGTTATTTTCTTGGCTGCTGTAGATCACTAATTAGGATGTCCAAGAAAGAAAACTGTTGATTCTGAGCTAAATTAAAGAAAAATGCAGGGATTATTGTATTTTTTTAAAGCACCCTCTTTTCTCTCAGAAATCGGATTGCCGAAGGGACTGGAGAATTCTCAAGTGACTCTTCATTGATATTGTTGTGTCATATTCATAAAAGTACTCTTAAAAGTTCTTTTTCTTAACTTGGACTCTCTACTTAGAGACATTTTCATTTTCTGCTTCAAAAACAATGGAGAAATTATTAGAGTTAAACATTTTTAAACCAGAAAAACTTCGTTATCTTCCACGTTATTGACCAGACTAGGTGTCAAGGGTACAGTTGTGTCCTCTCTAAATGGAATAAAAATTCACGATTACAGTCCCTTCAAGAACTGGAGGACTAAAAGAGTCACTAGATTGAAAGTATCAAAAAGAAAGAACCTATCCTGTTGGAAGTTTTTTTTTTCTTTATTTCCACCTTCTATATTTTTTTAGCTTGTCTTGTCTGTTTACAGTTGTATCCAATAAACGTAAAAACGGCTGGATCGATCGGGTCAAAGTTTTGTGTGGGAGCTCACAGGACTACAGGGAAGGTTTATGAATGATCAGGTTTAAAAAATTAGCCTCCAACAAAATACGATTTCCATTAAATTTTGAAAATTCACGTTTTTTTTATAAAATCCGCAACCTTTTTTCGTTGTATTTAAATTTACACAAAGAAAAAATAAAATAAGATAAGATAAGGTATAGTTTATTGCTAAAAATACACATACAAGTTATAATGTTACAGGCAAAAAATCTGCAACTATTTTTACTGTGGAAGACGAGACCCAGCGGCCTCCTTACAACAAAGCCAGGAACAAAGAAGAGAGCTGGAAAATTCTACGCTGCATTCTCTCAAGATTGATTCATGTGATTCCGACCGATATTGTTAGACTTACTTGTTATCTTAGATTTAAGTATATCCTTCTGAAAGACTCCTTGCGTTATTTGGAGACCGATGCTACGTCCTCCATATTGGTGACCCCGATCGTGAACACAAAGGAGAACGAGTGAACTTTAAACACGAAGGAGATTTTCTTATTATTCTCAGTTTTGCCTGTAATTGCAATCACTGAATAAAAGGAACTTTAAACATGAGTGAAAACCATGGAAACCTTCCAGCTCCCGCTGCCCACTATGTCACGAAGGTGGCCGTCAAGCTTCCCGATTTCTGGTCTGACGATCCTGACCTCTGGTTTATTCATGCTGAATCTGCGTTCCGCAATGCTCAAGTGACACAGTCAAGAACGAAGTTCGACCATGTTGTGCAAAAACTTCCGCAGAGTATCATGGTTTCAGTACGTGGCCTAATTCTTAGTTCCTCTACTACTTCCTCTACACCCTACGAGGATTTGAAGGCCAAGCTGGTGTCCTCTTACACCTTGTCTCGCTGGCAGAGAGTTTCTAAGGTTATCCATCATCCTGCTTTAGGTGACTGCCGCCCCACAGCCCTGATGGACGCCATGCTGGCGTTACTCCCTGAGGATGAAGTTCCCGGAAGCCTGTTCCTGGGCTTGTTCCTGGAGAGGTTACCTGTGGAAATGAGAGACCACCTGGTGGCCAAGGATTTCAAGAACCCCAGTGAGATGGCGTTGCATGCCGATAAGTTGTGGGATGCTCGTAGAGCACAGTCAGTTGATTCTTCTCTACTCGCTGCAGCTTCTACATCTCCTGCACATGCTCGAGGGAGAGATCGTTCCGATGGTTCCCCTGTCCACCAAAGCCAGACTCCAGGACCCTCATGAGCTGGTGAATGTTACTTCCACAAGCGTTTTGGAAATTCTGCTAATAACTGCCGTGGAAGACGAGACCCAGCGGCCTCCTTACAGCAAAGCCAGGAACAAAGAAGAGAGCTGGAAAATTCTACGCTGCATTCTCTCAAGATTGATTCATGTGATTCCGACCGATATCGTTAGACTTACTTGTTATCTTAGATTTAAATATATCCTTCTGAAAGACTCCTTGCGTTATTTGGAGACTGAAGCTACGTCCTCCATAGTTTACTATATTTATGTAATTCTAGCAATTAGGTGGAGATTAACTATTTGCTGTTTTGGGTATCATCCCCACTTAATTAATATTAAAATGTTTGCAATATGATGAATATTACTAGGGTTTGAAGGTTTACAATAAGTCAGGGATTACTAGTTAAGTTTAGAGAGACTGAGGTGCAGCATAATAAAATAATTGATATTTCAGTTTTAAAGTTCAGTACGTATAACAGAATATGATTAAACATGTATAAAAATCTACAAAGTTCTATGTTCATTTTTTGCAAGAATAACAATAGGGTTTATTGCACTTTGAGATGTAGGCGTTAGATGACATTTCAAATAAACTTTTTTAAAATATACCTAACGATTCACTTCTTTTTAAATCAAGTGGCAGGTTATTCCATATCTTAAGAAGTGCAGAAGTAGTAAAACATTTTAATTATGTTAAGAGATCTTTCAAAATTTCAGAGTTTTTTATAAGTGTTGTAAAATGAGGAGGGTAGAAGGTTTTTCGTGTATTAATGAATAATAAATATTGCTTGATTACATTCAGTCAAATCATTTAACTTAAGGATTTTATACTTGAAGAAAAAAGGATCGGTATAAGAAAAAAGGATCGGTATGTGACGCTGTTTTTGCATTATTTGCACGTTTTTGGAGCAAGCTATTTTTTTCATTTCCATGTTTACAATTGAAATAGAAGATGGGCGCGAAGTGCCCTGATAGCCTAGTTCTTGTTAAAAGCATTGCCCCTGAAATAAAAAATTAGATTATCAGTGTTCACGGAATATATAAATTATCTCTGTGATTGCTAGGGAGAGAGTGGATATTTCAATCACCCTTGGCATTGGGAGAAAGCCCGCGAAAACACTCAGTTTATCGTACAGGGAGGAGACAATTCAAAACCCTGAAGTGAATCCAGAAGGGTTTTGACCGAACTAAAATGAGAAGGAAAGGAAATTTTTCTATTCCATTATAGTCCAGTGCTGAGGATCTGTATCTTTTTATGCAGATCCGGAATCCAGATCTGGATACCGCCTTGTAAACAAATCAAATTGGATCCTAGGACCTAAATCTACCCGGTAAAAATGGACCCGGATCCTGGTTCCCGGTTTAAAAATTGGTTTGTAGAAAATGGAACCAGATGAAGATCCTGATCACAATTTTTTTCTTCTCTAGAACTGAGCTACTGATGGGCATCAATTGAGGCCCGTTTTTAAACATTTAAAGGTTTTAGGCTTTTTAAAGGCTTTACAAGAATCTGAGATGCAACTTCTATTTCGAAATTTATCAAAATTTATCAAAAAAGTTACATTTTTACTTTACTCTGATCAGAGATATTGACCAAAACTATTTTTCAAAACGGAAAACTATATTCTAATTGTATGAGTTATTTTCTTTAATAAGAGTAAAGAATTTGCTGTATGCGATAAAAGCAAACTAGTCAAGCATGCAATATTGAGATATGACATGCATCTTGATTCTGAAAAGTTCAGAGGCCTAGTTTAAAGTTTAAAAACAGGCCTCAAAACAATGCTATTCAGAGCCCACCTTCTAATATTAAAATTCCCTTTTCCCTTCCACCACCCACATCATGTTACATGAATAAAGTCAGGGTTCTCATTTACTGAGTTTAACCTTGATGGAAAAAGAACATTTTTTGTCGGGGAAATTTATGAAACTTACGACCCCCCCCCTGAATTGTTTCCTGGTGATAGTTTGGGTCAACTGACGATCCATTCCTGCCCTGGAGCGAACAGGAATTCGTCTCTACCTCGCTTCATGCCGATCTTAAGAAGTAAGTGTACACAAGATTATACTATGGCAAGAGAATGTTTTAACTTTTTACAAGGAAAGCTTTTGAAAATTTTTAGGGGCATATAAACAAATTTCTGGGTTTAAGTATCAAAGAGGACGACATTTAAAAAAAATTTGTTCAAAATTATTTTGTTTTACCATGAGGCCGAATTTAAAAATTTAAACCGTGTCTTACTTACTTGTTTACTTGATGGATTATTCCAAGAGCTCCAGGTAGGAACATGAGGGGAATTTCGGTAGTATCATCTGGAGTTGTGATCCGGTCATCTTATAGAGGTCACGCTGTAGGGTCGTAGCTCAATGAGTTCAGTGTCCTTGCTTCCTTTACTTCTGTTGGGAGTCTATTCCATGAGTTAACAACTCTATTGGAGAAAATTTTTTGTCTCACATCAGTTCTAGATCTGTTAGGAATCAGGTTCTTGCAATAAGCTGTTGTGCGTGTTATTCGTTGTGCATTTAATCCTACTGTTCTGAACCGTATACTGCTGTCTACCTGGTCGATTCCTGACAATATCTTGTAGGTTTGGATGAGGTCATATCTTATTCTACGTTTTTCTAGAGACAATATTCCCAATTCTACAAGTTTTTCTTCATAATTTGCACCTTTCAGACCAGAAATCAAGTTTACTGCTCGTCTCTGTACTTTTTCCAATATTTCTATATCTGTAGCCGTCCAGGGTGTCCATGCGGGAATAGCGAATTCCAGATGGCATCTAATAAACTGAGTGTACAATTTGAGAAAAGGGATTCTATCCCTATACATGAATGCTCTTGAGACCTGACCTAACACCACAGATGCCCTGCGAGCTGCCTCTGCACATTGCTTTGAAGGTTTTAAATCATTGCTTATGACCACTTCAATATCTCGTTCTTCCTGAATTTCTTCTAAGGGTAAACCGTTCATACTGTACATAAACCTATTATTGTTTCTACCAGTATGCAGAATCTTACACTTCTTGACATTAAATTCCATGCACCATTCTGTTGCCCATACAAGCAGCTTGTTCAGACAATCCTGTAGCACCTGTTCCTATCTGTACTAACTTTGTGACCTAGCTTGGTGTCATCCGTAAATTTGTTCAAGTGTCCAGATCGTTTATAAATATTATAAAGGCCAGTGGTCCAAGTACCGATCCTTGGGGTACCCCGGAGATTACTTCTGCCCAATTTGAAAAGCTTCCATTCAGGACTATTCTCTGCCTACGACCTGACAACCAGATATCCATCTTAGAACATCCCCCAGGATCCCGTGTGCTTTCATTTTTGCTATAAGTCTGAACTTGGGAACTTTGTTAAAAGCTTTAGAAAAGTCCAAATAAATAATATCTACGGGGTCTCCATTATCAACCATCTTTGTCACTTTCTCTAAGAATTCCAGAAGGTTCGTCGTGCAGGATTTATTCTTCATAAAGCCATGCTGGGAGGATTTAATAAGTTGATTTAACAACAGATGATTGACTATATTATATTATTATATTATAAAAATTTATTCACACACAAAGATATAAATACATATATAAATGGTGTAGTTTAAATTTGTTTAAATAATTTTTTTTTGAAAATACAGGTTTCCATTAATTTACACTGTTCAAATTGAGCGCCGGATTAACTATCACAAAACATTGATTACAGTTTTAAGTGGAACCAACCATGTTCAAGTCGCGTTTCAAATTTGAGACGAGGCTCAAATTTTTTTAATTCAGCCTCTGCTCTGTTTTCTGTCCTAAAACCGGAGACGTCTCATTTTCTCATTATACATTGATTACAAAAATATATATTTATTTTGTTTTAGGTTTGAAGATCGAGGACATTTCATGGACGAGTCCTTCCCTGAACTCATCTCAGTTGTGAAACAACATCTGAAATAGTATTTGACCAAAGGGACTGTAAACGTAATTTCAAGTGACTCTATAATATTTAATGAGCTGTATGTCTAATTCACACGATAACACGTTTATACTCTTCCCATCTTTACCTGGATAACAATGAGGAAGAAATTGTCGTTTTTCTATCTAGCACTTATAATATTCTGTTGGTAGATATCCGTCTTCTCACTCTCCAAGAGCAGATACATTAAAATATGATCAATTTTCAGATAAAAAAGCACAAATATCTTTGTAACTTTTGTTCTGAGTTGGGTTAATGGGTAATGTTGTGAAAAGAGGTCGCTTGAAATTACATGAATGGTTATCACCAACAAGAAAAGGGGGGGGGGTAGGGCGTAACCGCAACGGTTGATAAACTTGTCGCTGCGGTCACATCTTGAACAGCGAAAATGTATGCAAAGTGATGCAAATCATTTTGATTCCTGGAATGTCGATCCCTGTAAAACTAGCTGAAGTGCCCGGCGTTGCCAATGGAAATCTATTTTGGGATTTAAAAATAATTCCATTGAAAAAAATTAATACTTCTGATAACAAAAACGGAATTATTTCTATTGAATGTATTGGATCTAACAAAAACGGAAGTATTTCTATTGAATGTATTGGATCTAGTACCCCTTCATTGTGATAATTACAAAAAAAAATTCTAAGCTTTTTCTATAATTTCCTACTTACACAGTCACATTTTGAATGAAAATTTTGAAAAGACTGATCTGTTCTCAGAAATATATAAATTAAATTGTTTCAGAAGAATGTCTGAGGAGAAGGATTTTAACGTGTTTGCTGGAGCAGAAACTGGGATTTTCAAAGGAATCTTAAACTTGACAAAATTTCATTGAAATCACATTCAACATTTTGTAAAATTTAAATTAAAACTCCATTTTTGCAAATTTTAAGAATTAAGAATGATTTTTTTTTTAAATTTCTTGGATTCTTTTTCATTAAATTAGTTAGCTTGTTAAAGATTTTCATCTTTTTATGAGGTTTTTTTTATTCCATTCTATCTTTTTACGAGGTCTAAAATACTGATCTTTTATCGCATCCCATCTTTTCTTATATTATAGTACCTAGTGTATGCATAATTTCAAGTCAAAGTTTACAATGCCTAATTCAAAATTATAATATCTAGAAATTCATTTATGTTTTCCTGCAGTAGAAATGCACAAGTCACTTTGGGGAGAAACCACAATTGGGAATAATTAGTTTTAAAAATTAGAACATTGATATCCAACTTATACTTGACCAGACAATGCTAATAAAGGTATCGTTGTGAATCGGACAATCTTTACAAGGAGAGTCACTTGAAATTTCGCTTCCAGTCACTTTAACCATATTTTCGCCTTTAATTCCAATTGTAGATTTTCTCACTGGATATGAAGACTGAAGAGGGGGGAATAAAAGCTTAAGATATATTTTCTAGGACTCAACATTAATTCTAAATGTTCTCTCAGTAAAAACTTTGATAAAATCTCAAACTTAACAAAGGTAAACTGGTTTGATTTTATTCCACAATTTAACCGGATCCGGATATGAAAAGGAACCACTTCTGATATTTAACCGGATCCGGATCTGAATAGGAACTACTTCTGATATTTAACCGGATCCGGATCTGAATAGGAAACATTTCTGATATTGAATGCTTGATATTTTCTAAATTATCGAAATGGTGATACACATGTAAATATGAGAACCATTTTTTTCAGACAGAATTTTTCATTTGTATTAAGGATGTTATTAAAGGGAGTGTTCGCGAAAAATGAAAGGGGGTATAGGCTTAATGCGATAAAAAAGCGCTTTTGATCGCTTCTAATCTTACTTCTATCTGTTGCGTCTATAAGGAGAAAATTGTTAAAAACGACTAATACCGAAGAACGTAGTATCCATACAAATTCAGAATGATCCATTATACGACTTAGACCGTAAAAAAATCTATTTAATTTCAAACAAATCATTCAGATATTACACCCTATGGTCATCGATTATCTTTCGCCACATTTGTATATAGTTGATTTTTCATAATATGTTTTAATTGTTATGATCTGAGAGTTACTTATAAAAACATTTATTCCTGTTTCGAGGATTTTTGAAATGAAGCCGACATTTTCATATTTTCCAGGAATGTTCGAAAACAAGTTGGAAGCTAAATGTTATTGTGAAAAATAAAATCAATACATATTATGAAAAATCAACTATCTACAAATGTGGCGAAAGATAATCGATGACCATAGGTTGTAATATCTGAATGATTTGTTTGAAATTAAATAGATTTTTTTACGGCCTAAGTCGTATGTTGCATCTTTCTGAATTTGTATGGATACTACGTTCTTCGGTATAAGTCGTTTTTAACAATTTTCTTCTTGTAGATGCAACAGATAGAAGTAAGATTAGAAGCGATCAAAAGCGCTTTTTTTATCGCATTAAGCCTATACCCCCTTTCTTTTTTCGCGAACACTTTCTTTAAGTTTTTTGTTCATTTCCGGGATGTAACACTGGCTCATGGGCTGCGCGATGAAGACGGTTCGGGGGTTCCATGTTGGGTTCCCTCTCAGATTTATCTATTATTATTGTTATTATCTTATCTATATTCTTATTCTCATCCTTCGCCCTAAAACATTTAGAACTAGGGGAAGGGGGGGGGAGGGATTTTGACATCATACCCCAGTGTTTTCGGTAAAATGAATGCAAAATATGCGCCCACGCTTTAATGAGTGTTGATTTAACATCCTATTACAACTAAACAGTTTTTTGTAAATTAATTAATTTGTTTTGTGCATTTCTTAATAATGTATCTCTTGCTTCCCATCTCTCTACACTCTACAGAAAACGAACTTTTCTGTTTGCAATTTTAGAAAATGTTTTTTTGTTTGTGTGTAAACCCTGATTTGATGGATGTTTAAATCGTGTATTTATTCCTCCCCCGTAATCCACTAAATCCCCCGGGTTTGGAGTTGTGCTGCATTGAATTTGGTTTAGACTTTTTAAAATAGTTTTCTCAAAGAGACCGTAAGTGTAATTCAAAGTTCCACTCTATGATAAGATGGCAATGCCCGATTCTCAATGGTACCCTTGGAACCTCTCTTTTATAATAAATGTGGACGATTTTATTGATGTTCTAGGGTAAAGGTGTTTAATCCTGATAATTTCTGCAGAAGAAATGCAAGTCACTTTTGTCGAGAAACTACAATGGAAAATAATTAGTTTTCAAAATTATGAACATTACTATCTAGTTCAGGCTTGATCAGAGAAAGTTTTAAGAACAGAATCTAATATGAAATGAGACAACTTGGATAATTAGTTGGATATTAATTAATGGGTATTAATTAAAATAATTTGATTTGAATGTCAGAATAATTAAACATGGATGGAATATGTTAGAACTTAGATTTAACATTCTTGGAACCAGTGCGAATTCGATGTATAATTCTGCAGTCCCTATTAGCAAACATGAAATAAAGATATGATATATTTACTTCGTATAGACCGCCCTCGTCAGAAAAAAAGCTACACATTGTAAATCAGCGACTAGTAAAGGAGCTTCATGGTAAATGTGTGGAAAATATTTATTTCTTATTTTTGATAATAAGCCAACACTAATTACATTTTTGAAAGCTTTTTTGATAAAGAATAAAAAACTGTTGCTTTGTTGTAGTGGAAATATTTTTTTAAGAAAATAGATCCGGATCCAAAATGATTGATTCATTGATTGATTGTTTTATTTATTTATTTATTTATTTATTAGGAGAGCAGTATAAGCTGTATGAGTTATGGAGAGGATGAACAAGAAATACTCATCGGACTCAGGAAAACATTGATTGATTGATGGATTTTCATATTTTCTCATTTTTCTACCAGTCAATTAAGTCTATTAAGAAAAATCGGGGAAAATGTGTAGGCTTTTTCAAGGAGTCTGATTATTCAATTACTTTAATAAAAATATAATACTCAACAGAATCCTCGATTCGTTAAAATACATGTTTTGTATCAATCTTCATTAATCTTTAATTAAAAGACAATTTGCAAAATGTCTAGTTTATCAGCAAAATTTGCGAAATGACGCGCAAATTGGTTGGAATTGATTTTAATTATGTACCAGGAGATAATAGATATTGCTGCCCTTTCTTCCAAACCCAATTAAAAATTTAAAAATTGCAATATTATCTTAATACTCTTTAAGTGTAAAGATAGTGCATGAAGTTTCATACGTATTTAAAATAAATAAGTGCTCATTTGATGGGTAAAAAATTGTATGAAGAGTTTTTTCGGAAATTTTAATTTTGGTAAATTTTTTATGTTTTTCCAAGGTCTTCAACTCATCATAATTATTTCATATTTAAATTAGTAATCTGGACCGATTTGCCTCAAATTGTGATTGGGAACTCGGTAGAACCAGAGAAATGTTCTTAGTCTTGTTTTAATATATAAAGTAGTAATCACTGTTGCTTTTCTGTCTGTTTGTTTGGATGTCCGAACATGGTTCATAAACCCCTGGACCGATTGCATAATTATTTATTTTTTGCGCATTTCAAAGTATTAAAATATGAAAGTTTATCAATTGAGTTAAACTGCAGGAGCCAATATGTAAAAGTTTTCGACGTCAAGGACAAGTAAGTTATCAACAAACTTTAAAACATTTATTCAGAATATTCAATATTATCTTCATGGTTTTAATAAATAATTTTGTTGTTTTAATTTAAATTTCTGACTCAAACCATTACCGCATTCTTGCGCCGGGACTACGGGTGATTAAAGCCCCCCAGTGCTGGAAAATCTTGTATTGTGGATATCTAGAACAATGTTTTGTCTCGATCTGTTTTTAATCTGCAGATATTTAATCTCTATTCGTTATTCTGCATGGCATGGCTTTGATTAGGAATAACTGAGATGGAGAGATAAAGTATTGATCCTCAAATTTAAAATGCCCACAGTGTATATCGAGATCAAGCGATCGAGATTATGTGTATCCAACAATTTTTTAAAGGTTTTCTTTAATGTTGCATAACAATTTTTTTAACTTGGAAAATGTAAAATATGCATGGCATAGAAATATTCCTTTGATAACTTTTATATATTTTATTTTTCCCAACATTAAGATAAAACATATTTCATAAATATTCTCTTGGGTGTCTATTTTCACAACAATATATAAAAAAAAAAACATTTTTGTCGTTGCTATTAAATAATTAAAAGAAAAATCTATGTTTTCAAAATCAAGCTTCTAGAATGAACAATCCAGGAGGATTTTAAAGATTGAATTTGCGCTCTTGCTGAACAGTTATAGTTAATACACCGTAAAAATGTCTCATGTGAATTCTGAAAAAATTCTGCACTCTCAGCTTAACGACCATGTTTAGCAGGTCACTCCCTTTAAAGGGTATCCTAGGTGGTAGGGCCGGAGAGGGGGGCTGGGCTGACATTTGTTTTCTCTTCCTTTCTTCTCCGAGTTTTACCATTACCAGAATTTAAAATATGATTTGTGCAATGTCTACATTTTTTAGAAAATGAAAAGTATCCATCTCTGAAGATCATTTTAGATCTAGGATTATCACTTATTGATTTGATTTGAATCCACAATTCTAGAAATTCACATATTTCTAATTCTTTTGTTTGTTCAGATCGTATTCGACAGTTGTTGAAACGAAGGCAGGAACTGGGCCTGTGGTAGGGGTTGCAAGGTAAGCTTTAGAAAGTTGTTAATTGACTGGGGGGGTGGGGGGGTATCAGACGTTTTTTTAAATTTTAGATTTAAAAAATTTAATTAAATCCATAGATTTAATTTATATTCTGACATTTAGATGATTTCTTTAGGTACAACGAAGCAATTCTTACAGCTGTAGAATCTGGTTTAGTTAAACTATGGAAGTATGAGAACCCTGTGGAATTTAATCCAATTGATTATGAGGAAACATACATATTGAAATATCTATCAGTTTACAAATATTAACGAACATTCTTATAAACAGGAACTAACGGGAATTAAAGAAATGACTAGAAACAACCAGAAACGACTTGAAACGATTAGAAGTGACAAGAAGTGACTAGAAGTGACAAGAAGTGTCAAGAAGTGACAAGAAGTGAAAAGAAGTGAAAAGAAGTGAAAAGAAGTGACAAGAAGTGACAAGAAGTGACAAGAAGTGACAAGAAGTGACAAGAAGTGACAAGAAGTGACAAGAAGTGACAAGAAGTGACAAGAA